TATGTTGTTTGCAGGCATTTGAAATGTTATGTGCTCAGACACTGCTGTTCAACCTATTGCTTTAGATTCCTGAGCCACATATATCTCTGAGAATCCTCCTGCTTTGGAAACTTCACCATTTCTTCAACCAGAACAAAAGCACCTAATCTAATTTCTGGGTTAAAAATGGAATGCAATGGCAGATAGAAATACTTTAAGCATAGCAGTAATCTTATTTGGTCCTGAGTGTGAAGTAGCCCTTGAAAAATCTAGGACTGTGTTTGTCATGTCATGGTATTTAAGGTATTAAATGCTTTTTGAATCTCATCTACAAAGAAGTTTTTCACTGTTTATTCCATTTAATTTGGAAACAAGAGGAGGGAACAGTCAGTTCAGATTTTCACTATTCATTTGAACTTTGGGGAAGGGCTTTGGACACTCGGAAATGTGGGGGGTATTTTTTTATCCCTGGTTATTGCCATTACTCCAATGATTCCAGGAGGCAGCCTCCAACAGAGCAGAATTAATAATTTTCACAACATTTTTCTTTTCCAAGTGTCTGCATAAACACCCTGTAGGGACATTATGCCTGCACTGGGGTTTGGTCAGTTCTGAGAGCTTCACAGCCAGAGGAGGAGAAAAAAAGGATATCAGGAGTAAAGGCTGTTCTGTTTAATAAATAAATACATCTTTACCTCAGCATTGGTGTAAGAAAAGAGCTTTGCATACCTACTCAGTTCTACACCCAACAGATGATTTATTTAGTGGAGATTAGAAGATGAGAAGTTTTGCTGTTGAGAATACCAGGCATACCTGGCAAGACTTCTACTGGTTTGGGGTTTTTTAAAGGTAAGCCATTTGGGCTAATTTTGATAGAGGGAGATCAAGGACTTTACTCCGCAAAGTTTAACAATGTCACTGATTGTTTTTGAAGTGGTTATATAAAAATAATCAAACTAATCCCCCCCAAAACCAACCCCCCCCAAAAAAATCCCCAAACCTTACCCAAATATTACTTCTCCAAAGAGTTGAACAGAATGGGATTGAAATATGGGATTTTCTAAGCTCCAGCTGTGTGCTCAGAGCTGTATCCTCTTCACAAAGGATTGATACTAATGACAAAATTGTGTGCTTTGAAGATACATAGAACAACTTGGACATTCTACATGATGGAGCCAGGACGGCCTTGGTTTGCAGAGAAGTTGGGCAAAAAGCTAATTTCCCCAAAATACATTCCCACAGACTGCTACAGTTTGAAGTATTGTTCTTGTGGATAAGATTCTGCTATTGTAACTCAGTATGGTTTTGGATAAGAGGGCAGAATTGCCTTTTTTTGTGTGTGTTCTTTTCAATGCATCAGCAGGCTTGTTTGTTTTTCTATTGTAGTTATCCATGCAATAAGCAGGAACATCTATGGCTCATTTTTAATAATTAGTTCACAGCTGCCCAGAGGGGAAACTGTGGTCAAGAGCTCTTGTTGATCTTTGTTTTAACAGCTGGTATTATTAAGGGAGAGCTTCACAGACTAGGGAAAAAAACGAAAAAAAAAAAAAAAGAGGATGAAAATCAGTCAACAGTTAATCCAAGTTGTAGCCAGACACCAAAAGATTTACTGGGAATTAGTTCTAAAATTGCATTTGTTCAAATAATTTCGGAAGAAACGAATGGGTGTGTATTAGATCGGGGAAGTGGGATGGTGCAGGGGAACAGTGAAAAATTGCAACATTTGTCAACTGAAAAACCTTCCTGGAACAACAGCAGCGTATATTTAGCATTGTTACCATGCTGCAACTCCTGGGGGAAGGCAGCCTCTGGTCTGGAGCTCTGCTGAGGCTCATGATTTATACCCTCCCAGCCAGCAGAGCCCCACACACCAGGATCTGCTCATTCTCAAAGCTCTTGTTTATAACACACGGAGCAGAGAATCCCTGTGGGTCCTTTCAGTCTGCAGCTCTGGATCCTGTCAGCGAAAACCAAATCCTTGTCCCATTCCTGTTCCCCCAGGATGAGCAGAAGGATGAGGTTAGCATTGCTTTTGTTTTATTCCTTTTTTTTCTTTCTCAAATGAGTTTCATTGGCATAATTAATGCTAATGGTAGAGATGCATCATCTCTCTGGCCCCAGCAGGTTTCAGTAGTTATGAGCCTTTGCTTTGCTAATGAGTCTGGATTTTAAGGCCTAGATTCTGCTGTTTATCCCCATACCTAGTAGGAATTAATTCCCTGAAATAGGTTGCACTGCACTAGTATCACCAAGAGAAGCAACATGTGCATGTTTGTCTTCAGTTTAAATAACTCAACAAGTACATAAAAAGGTTGAAATGCACTCAGTCCTTCAACAGAAAGAGTCTGACCTTACATTTGGCATTAGTCGGTGTTTCTCTCTTATTATCTTATTCTTTAAGAGCTTTCTTACATCCTGGGTTGTAATTTGCACATTATAACATATTTTGAAACAAACCCGTGTCTTGTTCTGGGGTTTCTTGCACGTATTTTAGAAGCAGAATTGTATGTTTGAAAAGAAATGTTCCTTTCTGAATGGGCTGCTCGTGACAGATGGTTCTCATTGCGGCAAAGTCATGCAGTGCCTCAAACCTCAAAATGTATAAACTTATTTGAAGGAAATGAATCGCTGCTGCGGCCTGGCCATCTCTGAAAAGTGTCCTTGGACATTGCAAACAGGGGGGTTTGAGCCTTGCCTTTTCCTTATTCAGAGAAAACGATAAAATGCATTTTCAAGAGCCTGAAATTGTGACACCTCAGGAGATTTAACACAGTTTCTAGAAGGGCCTCCCACTGATAACAGCAGGTGATGCCTCAGTGTGGCCTTTTCAGGTGATTGTTTGAATAACACCAAAATAGCACCTATATAATGCTCCATACTGTATGGATTTCTGTCCTTGCTGTCCAGGGCATATAACCTATATAATTTCACATCAAAAACTCCTTTTTTTCCAAGAAAACCAGGCTTCCCATTACTTTTTGTCTGCCAGAGGACCATCTTATTGTCCCTTAACTATCCATTATTCTTTGGCTCAGCTGCTGTTTCTCTTAATCACCTGTTGCTCATCAGCTCTGTCCTGCTGCAGTTGAGCTCTCCCATCCTCCTGCCTTCCCACTCCCCAGAATTAATCACTCCTTTCTTGTTGTCTTACCTCTTTCAGCATCTTTTTAAGCTGCTGCAGTAGCAGTAACCACATCCTCTCTTGTATGGAACATCCCCTCTCTCACCTTCCTTCCTGGCTGCTGTGGTAACACCGTTATTTGCTCTGTTGCCATTGAGGGACCACAAGTTCTGCTTTACCACATCCTCTGCAGGACACAACAGGCACAGGGGGAGGAGAAGGCTTGGTTTGACACCAGGATGGCAGAGGTGGAGGGTTTGGGGCTCCCATTGGTTTGGGCTCTGGTGAGGAAGGCTCTCCTCTAATGATAAAAGCAGCCCTTGGAGCCAAGACCAGGCTGTTTCTTGCAGGATCACCTGCTCCTGGAGCTCATGGCCTCAGTGACTCAGAGCCTTCTGGCTGCTGCAGAAAGGAGCAGTTTCAGTCATGGTTTAAGACATTTAGTGTGTGTGAATGCCTTGGCAGTCGGTGACACCGGTTGTACTCTCAGGGAATTGCCCTCCCGTGAACCACGTGCCGGGTTTTGCGAGGCTCCCATAATAGGTGTTAAAGTGGGTCACCACTGCCAGCGTGTGGCTGTGCTCCCAGTGACCTCTCCAGCAGGCAGAGGTGTCCTGCTGCTGACCTGTTGCTCGGTGCTGCTGCCCAGGGAGCCTCTCTCCCTCCCATCCCTGCTTTGGGAGCTTGGTGTTGGATTTGTGCTGTTTGCTGTCGTGAGCTCTGTAACTACTGCTGTGTTTTAGGGTCTGGTGTGTGCATCCTCTCTACAATGAGGTCATAACACGCACCAGTACGAAGACAAGCTCAGCTTTTCATTAGTGGGGGAGGTATCAGTGCAGCTCTGCTGTAGGTGGGTCTTTTTTGTAGATGCTATGATGGAATTGGTTCCCTGTCAACCCAGGAGATCTGGTTGTACTCCCAGGACTGGGCAGGAATATTGATGTTATTCTCCAGGTCCTGCCCTCTGCACCAAATGCTCATGGCTTTTCTCAAAAGTGCTTCTGGTTCAAGCCAGGTTTCCATCAAGGTGGGGCTAAGGCAGGGCCGAAATGCCCGTGGGACAGCACTGGGGCTTAATTAGCAGGAGGGGTCACTCCTGAGTTTGTGGAAGGTGGTTTTCAGGGTGGGGATGAGTGTGGTTGGGAGCAATTACAAGGGTTGTTCCATGTTGCTGCCCTTTGCTGTGCAAAGAGCCTTGCTACTATTGCAGGGTAACATCATTTAAAATCCAAATTAAAATTGGCATAAATATTAAAACTTATTTTCCTTTACCGCTTCAGCAAAATGCTGAAGTGTAAACATTTCAAGGCTGAAATACAGCCCAGAAACTCCTTAATTCGTAGTGTCTATTGGAACAAGCAGGACAATTAGAGGTGAGTTTATCTAGCAACATAAAAGGTATTTTAACATGAAACATAGTCTGTTTCCACTGTTGATTGCTTTCAGGGAATTCCCCCTCACACAAGTTGGAAATACACTCAGTTGCCTAATGATGCAGCAAAGAATCTAGTTTTTGTTTCTATGTTCTCTTAACTAGGTTGAGTTCTGAGGTGACTTGGAGAGATAGAATAGTTAACCTTTAGAGCTTTACAGAGAAATGAATTTAGGAGATGGTGATGAAAGGAAGATGGAGATGTGCATGGAAGACATCAGGGTTTTTTTCCTGGGCTATTTATTATTCTTCTCAAGCAGAATTATGCCTGTTTAGGGATCTTGGTGAAAGGTCAGGGAGAACTTATTTAATATTGAAAGGCTAAAATGAAATTATGCATGTGGACAGAGAAGTGATCTGCATGAGAAGTGCATGTGATCGATCGCAAGAGAACCGGATACCCGGGGGAATGGAAGGGTAGATTCAGAAAACAACCAGCAAAGCCACAGCATTGTGTGAGTCTGAAGCAGGCAGGGATGGTCTCCCTGCCCCATCGGTCTGTCCTCCATGGTGCTGTCAGTGCTCCTTGTCTGTGCTACCCAAAGGGAAAGGTCAGTGTCCTGTGCTCTGTGTAAAACAGGGATGTTTGTTTGGTGTCATTAGCTGAGGATTTCACTGACTGTTGCTGACAAGTTTTGTGGGGGAAGTTGATTCTCATCAGTAGAGGCTGAGTCAACAGATGCCGAATTGCTTTGGTATTTTCTGCTCATTTCTGTTTTCTGGAAGGCTCTTGCAGTGGTAGCCTATATTTTATGCATTTTCTTTCATTATTAATTTGCCTGGAGACTGCTAACATTTGCATACAGCTTTATTGTAGGTCCCTGAGGATCTGTGATCTGAATTCCCGTGTATTCTGCTGCAGTGTAGTGCCATGTGGGACCTACCCGAGCCTAGGCAGCTCTCATTATCTTGTTAATTATTTTTATAATTTGAAGTTGTTAAACCATGGAATCTAAAACTGTAATTTAGAATTTGAACACTGTAATGTATTCTTGATCTTCACTTTAAGTCTTTCTTGCTTATGAAAACAAATGAGAGTCTTTAAAAAAAAAAAAAAAAGAAAAAAGGAGGGGGGAGATGTGGGAGAAGGTATGAACCAGAGGTAAAAATTAGTGTTTAATTCCCCTATTCCTGCTTCTGTTTCTAAGGACAGTGGATAAACAAGTCATTTTGTGAATTGAACTCTCTGGAGAGTGAGGCAGTAGAAAGTCTTCAAATATTCTTGATGTTTAAGAATAATGGCTTGTTTGTGGTGGTGTTGGATTAGAATTACAGAGGGAGTATGCTAAATATAAAGGCTTTGCTTTTCTGGTATTAGCATCTGAATTTTCAGCACGCTCTTTCTTCGCTCCTGGTCTCTGTATTAGCACTCCTCTTGACTTCACACTCCTGCCCTGCTACCTGTGAAAGCCACAGAAAGGGTGACAGCGACACTTCAGCCCAGACACTGGTACAGTTAACACTTCCAACTCAGTCTAATCTGGGCAGGCTTGACAGGATGATTAAAATTGCAGAATTAGTTGGTAAATTCTCCCAGAATCTACTGGTTTGTTCACACTCGAAACCAAGCAGGAACCCCGGGCTTTGTGACCTGGCTGTGTGCTGGAGCAGGGCCAGGTGAGTGTGTCTGGCTGCAGAGAGACTGAGGCTGTAGTTCAAGAGAAAAGTGATGATATCCCCTTTATTTCAGTCGCTGTTGATGCTGAAGCTCCTTGGTGGCAAATCTATTGCAAATCTATTTTGCAATAGATGGAAGCGCTCTAGAAAGGGGAAGGAGTATCTCACTGAGCTGATCATCAGAGACCACAGGAATAACACTTTATTGCTCAATAACTGGTTGTACTCCATGTTATCTGGCTTAGAAATGGGAAGAGGGCTTTTGTTTTTCTTAATGACTAACTTTCCTCTTCCCAAAATACTTCGCCTAGCTGGGGAATGCGACTTGAGGAGAGCGGTTGAGAAAGTGAGGGGATTTGACAGCTTAAAGTAACCATTAAAGTGAAACAAAGCAAATAGGCAGCACTATTTCCATTTTAAGCATTGTCAGGGTAACAAGCATGCAGCCGAATTTCAGAAGGAATGCATGGATGTGAGGTTATTTGGGCAGCAGTAAAAGTACTGGGAGAGAATTAATGGAAACAGAAATGAAGTTAGAAACACTCTTTGCCTTAGGGTTAAAATATTCAAAGCGTTCTGGGTACTCAGCTGTCAAACTCCCATTCAAGTTAATGACTAAAGTTCTACTTTCCTCTTTTGAGCTTCAGTTTGTGTGTGTGTGTGTGTGTGTGTGCTCAAGAAGTTGTTGTGCTCTGAAAAACTAGGAAGATGCTCTTTGTTTTAAGCAGCTCAGAGCAGAGGCTCTGCTTTCCCACCTGTGTGAGTCAGGTGGGTCAGCTCGGGTATTCCAGCTCCTCCATCACCTGGGGAAGTGTTTGTGCTGGCACAGGTTGCTGGCATTGGGAAGCAGGTGGAATCTGATGAAGAGGGGATAAGTTACAGCTGTACAAGTAGTTTAATTACGTGCACATCTTGATTGCCAATTATAAGTCTGTTCTTTTTAGTAAGGTGATATCACAGTAAATACAGGGACTTGAAACTGGGAGAAGATGAGATTTGGCAGGTTGGAAGGACATAGTAACCTGAAGGCTGTGAGGGGAGCCTGCTGTGATACACAACACACTGTCAGTGCAGTGTTTTGCTCCAAGCGTGTTCTTAGGTGTGAACCTGCCTCTGAGCCAAAAGAAAGCAGTGAATGCTTCTAGAAAATGTTCTGGTGTTTCTTTTTCGGAGAAAACAGGTGCAGTGTGACCTTTTGTTTCCCCCTCCCTGTGGTCTGGAGGGAGCATTTTTACTGAACGTTGCATCATGCTTCTTGCCTTGTTTTCCTGCCTTTCTCGAATGCTAAAACCCTGTGGAATTTATCATCTTCTAATGTTCTCCCTAACTGGAAGGGTGAGGAGGCTGCAAAAGAATGAACAGAGGAGAGTCTGTATGTTGAAACTGAAAGCTGAAACAGCAGCTCATGGAGGCACCTGAGCCCTCTTCCAGCTGATGACTGAACCTGCAAACCTGCACTAGCTAAAATTTTCAGCTGCTAAACCATCACTTGCAGGGCTGGTGCACTTTGTGCTGAAACCACTTGCTGTTCTCATTAGACTCCAGAATAATTGAGATTTTTTTTTTTTTTAAACTCTTTAGATTCCATGTGATAAAGTGTTTTGGTAATGAACCTTGGGGCAAGTAGATGAATTTTTAAAGAGTCTTTTCAATATTGATTATTTGTAGGCATGATATATGGTTGTTAATAACTACTCTCGAAAAAATCTTCTTTTTAGAAATCCTGTGTTTGCATGGATTGCTTGTCTCCCGGACTTTGGGATTCCGTGAATTAAAGGTTATGCTGTATGACCAACACATTTTTGTGTACCCTGTCATCTGTGTGATTCATTAGCTCTAACTCAGAGCCTTTGCCTACCTTCAGGCTGCTGAGCAGACCCGTGGAACCAGGAGGACTATCTGTGTGGGGTCTCTCTGGCTGCACTGCCCTTCCCTTGGAGTTTTCATGCTCAAAAGTGTTACCAATTTTGCTGCCTTTTTTTTTCCTCCTCAAGGAACACAGCAAAGAGAAGGAATAATGGAATGCATGACCCCAGAGTAACACAGTGTTTTGGGGCGTTGGCTGCTGAGTGAAATGGCACTTGGGCCAGCGCTGCTCCATGCCCGGAAAAGAACAGAAAGTCTTCTCTTTAGCAAATCTGCAGAGAGCTAAACTTCCCCTTGCCTTGCTTCTGGATAGTGGAGGTCAGGGTTTGTACTTTTATCTTGTTGAGGTGCTTCTTCCTAAAGCTTGGCATGGGGCAAATGTCTCAGCTCACTTTATAAATAGAAATTTAGCATCTTCCCCTGGTTTGTCTCTCTGACAGCTGCACCACGGTGTGTTCCCCTTACAGTGCTCCTCGGGGAGTTGTCTTCTGCCAAACTTGACCTAGCAAGGCTTCTGAAACAATCCAGCAGGTCCCTCTGTGGGATAACAGCCCACACTGAGGCAGCTCCCTGGAGGCATTTTCGGATTTTTATTCAAACTCTGATCTAAATGATGCTCTGAGAATTGATTCAGGGTGGTGATGGTGGGAGGTTTGGACAAGCCACCACCAAGGTTGCCTTTTCAGGGTGAACCTGCTCCATCTTCCCGTGCAGTCAGCAGTCTGGATTACCTTGAAGGGCAGGATTTCCTTGAAAGGCATTCCTTCTGGTGGGAAACCCTGACCTTTCCTCCTTGGATGGGGTTACAGTAGGATAATAATTTAGTTCCTTAGTACAAGTATGGTAAATCTGATGATGGTGGCTAAATTTGCTTACAGGGATTAGGGAGTGAATTTCCCTCCCTGAGTTTTCCCTTCTCAAAGTCAGGAGTGTGTGAATGCATCTAAACTTGGGAGTAATGGACTGCCCCGTGGGGTATTTATTTTATATGCATGTGTTTATATTAAATAATGTAAATTGTGGAGGAGGAGGGTGTGGGAGAGCTGGAAGACCTCTTTATCAGAAACCTTAAAAAGGCCATGTTTGCACTGCTCTCCTGGCACTGGTGCAATCCTAGAGATGGAGAGGTTGTGTATTCCGAGCAGAGCAGGAGGTGCCTCGTTGTGCTGTACCCCAGGCAGCACATCGTGTTCCTGCCTGATTTGAGGGGAGATCCATCATGTTACCCATGGCTTTGTCTTCTCCCCAGCTGTGAAACTGTGTGAAATATATATTTGTATATACGCAAATATGCACTCTTTGGTCCCTTCTGCAGAATACATACATCCTCTTTTTGAGTGACTGATGTTACACTGCTTCAAGGGGATTTATGTAGCTGGAAGTCAGGCTTTTATTCTGTGTAGTTTAATTTTTTTTTTTCTTCAGTCACACTCAATTGCTTTCTCAAAATTCTTGGAGTACAAGGCTCAGAAGTTCTTTAAGATTTTTGTAACTTTATACTATTGCCCTTTTGCTGTTCAACCACAAGTGCCTCTTTCATTGACTAAAACAGACATAATTTAAACTGAAGCTTGATCTGGTTTGGCTGCCTTGGTTTGAAACAGTGCTTTATGCTAAACCAGAGCAAATCCACGGATGCACAAACCCTGTGTGTCCTATTCCATGGATATTTATTTACCTGCTGCTTTAACTTGCTTCTTGTTAGGGTTTTGCAGATTTCCTCTAATATGATTTCTATTTCTCCAATTCAAATTAGTTAAAGCAGTTTTATTAGCAGGTTTATTTTTCTTCATTAGCTCCTGTGTACATGACTGTGTTCAATGCTGGCAGGATCTCTCCTGCCACCAGTGTGTAACACTCTCACTGCCAAACGTGCTACAGAGCAGAGAGGGGTGTTTGATTAAAAGCAGCACATTCAAAAACTAAGGCTTTGTTGTAGCATTCTATTATTTTTCTTTTTTTGTTTGTTTTTGCAGAGAAGCATCACTTGTGTCAGAACCTTTTGGCTGTGGCAGCCTCAGACCCAAATCTATCGCTGCGTGTTGTTTTTTGGAAACCATTGTAAATCTATGCTTGTAATGCAGATGTACAAACTTACTCTCTGTATTCCATTTAAACCATGGTGGAACCTGATGCCTAATAAGTCAGGCTGATATTAAAGCCCTTGTTTATTTTACACTGTGTTTCTGTCAGGATAAGTATTCAGTGTATCACAGTTTGAAATTACTTTTCAAGTCTTGTAGAAACATTAACTTCTGCAAAGCTGTGTGGAATGGATGACTGTGGAATTTGAGTGTTGTTGAAGTAGGCAAATCTTGAAAAATAAGGTAATTATAGGTTCAGTCTGAAGATAGTAATAAACTGTCTCGGATAATTAATTTGGATTTAGAGTTGCTTAATTCCTCTTGGCATTTGCAAATCCCAAACTGACTTGTGAAATGTTCTCGATTTTATTGCAAACATGTGTGACTGTTTTGGAGGGCAACAATATTTAAAGAACAAAGTGGCATCTGTATATAAATGGAGGTAGGCAAGAAAACTTACTGAAAATATAGCTAGTGTCATTTTTGAGGCATAATTTGCTAGCATCTTCCATTTTAGAACAAAACAGACTATAGGGGAATTAAAGTCTGTTTTGTGAAAGGGTTATTAGTTTTCTAAGTGATATTTTAAATTCATAACACTGAAAAAGCTCAAGTCTATGTTTCTCAGACTAAGATAAGAGTTATTAATTGAAAGTAGACCTCAAATTCATGGAAGTGCTTTAATTCTTCAGAATAAAATAAAATACTATCAAGAGTGTCTATTTCTTATCCTTTGCCTAAGTATGTCTTTGTATTAGAAGATGGTATTTAGTAGAATTGCCAGGATTTCTGGAATGAAGCTGATTCAGAAATGAGGAAGGAAGAACATTAGTGAATTGGTCTCAGGTTAAAATACAGGTTTCCATCGATTAGAAACCTGTGTAGCTACAAAATATGTCTAACTGTGGTAATGGAAAATATTAATAACACTTTCTGTATGGCAATACCTTGTGTGTTATTTTTAGTTATCTGTGTTCAATGAGACTAAACTGTTTTTCTTATGATTCATTGCAGGACCAGTTTGACAACTTAGAAAAACACACGCAGTGGGGTATTGATGTTCTGGAAAAGTACATCAAGTTTGTAAAAGAGAGAACAGAGATTGAACTCAGCTATGCAAAGCAGCTTAGGTAAGTTGATATGTAAAGTTCTGGACTTATAGTTGCATCTGTTCAGAGCCTGTAATCAACTCTCTCAAGTTTGCTGTGATAGTGGTGATTTGGTTTATAATAATGGCTTTTAGAGAATAGCTTTAATTTAGAGATTGGAAAGCAAAAGTTCATTTAAGATACTATTTTATTATCTCTGCAGAAAGAAGGGTTATTTAGGTAACTGAGTAGCACACTGGGGCTTACTCACGGTTTATGCATGATTAATGGCTCAGGCTTTGAGGCAGCATTGTAATATTTTCCATGAAATTAGGGCTGCTGCGTGTCAATGCTGAAGGGTTTAAGAATTCAGCAGAACAATGACCATTTGTTAGGCAAAGTTTAGGTTTTCTTTTACTCAGACAGGCCCTTTTTGAAGGTGCGTAGGAGAAACTGCAGGTCAGAAAGTCAGACCCAGCCCTTGGAAGATTTGTCTGTGGAGTTAACCAGGCTGCAGCCTGAGATTTGAATTGCAGTTTTGTAATCTTGCCACAGGCCTTGTGAGGTGTCTCCTGAACAGAGCAGAGATCTTTGGGAATTTATCTCAAAGAATTCCTGCAAAGTACTTTCTACATGTCTGGTTTGACCATCAGGTGTAAACCAGACAGAGAAAACCTATTCCTTGAGGTCAGATCCAGTGTAAATGGGGAAGGGGTGCTAAGAACTTTCCCACAGAGAGCAGATTTTTCCCTGCTTTTCCCAGCAAGGTAGGAAAACTGAGAGGTGATCAGGGTTTAGAAGGGAGAACAACACACAGGCAATTCCTGTTGCTGCTGGAGGGCTGTGGGGCAACACTGTTGGTAGCCACTACTTTTAGTGATAAACTGGGAAGTGGTGAAGCTAACTGGGGAGGAGAGAGCAGGAAAAACTCTTCCTAACACCTCCAGTAAATCCACATTTTTAAAAATTTTATTTATTTATAATTTGCATGATGATAATACATATTAGAAGTCCTTCCACCTTCTCAGCACTTTAAGAGGTTGGGATCTGAGGTTTAAGGTCTAAAGCACAATGTCAGTTTGAAAGAAAAAAATCACCCAGAATTTGCTTGTGTTCAAATGGATTAGAGATGCACAATGGCCTGTGATTTACGAGGAGCTGGTAGCTGATAAATCCCTGCCTTGATGGTGATGTGCTCTCCCAGGGGAATGCCACGAGGCTTCCCCAGGGTTCCTGTTAGAGACAAGCAGGAAATAGAAAATGACTCGTGCAGGAACAAATTGCTCACATCCTATGGAGATGAGCAGAGATTGAATTACACAGGCAAAATGAGCTGGAAGAAAAGAGAGTGTGAGTGGACTGGGAAACCCCAGCAGAGTATCTGTGTGAGCTGGCCTGTCTTATGAACAATCCCACGCCAGACTTGCTGGGTTTCTTAGGATGACAAATTTCAGGTGTGAAGAGAGCATCGTTATGAAAATGAACACACAAAATGTTAAAGGAAGGTGAAAGATGGTTTTACCTGTGACCATCTAGAAACTATGAATTCCTGAGATTTATTTCTTACTCTGTCCTAGACTTGCAAAATAAACTTGGTCAATTTGTTTCTTGCCTCTCTGTATTTTTATGGTTTGAGGACAAATACATCTGTCCCTGAGGAGCTCTTAAACACAGGGCTGCTTGGAGGCATCTGGGAAGTTAGAGGTATAAAAGAAAAAAACAAGGATGTAGACTTGTCAAATATTGAGGTAAAACAGTGCTGGACATTAAAAAAGAATAATAAATCATGTGTCTGCTTTTATTTAATAAGTCTCCTTAAGCCTGGTGCAAACCTTCCTTGTACCACATCCATTTGGTGCAGAAGGGCTGCAGCACATCACTGCATGTCATAATATGCAGAAGATATTATAAAAAGGAACAGGTTAACTCAGACTACTCATGTGTATTTACCTCAAAATTTTATTAATAGTGTAAGTGAAGCTGCTGAAATTTATTTTCTTCTCTGAAATTTGTATTTTCTGCTCAGTCACTGGGCTTTCTAAGTAGTTATTTTCCTCTGACTGTCTACATCTCAGCCTGGCCATCTATTAAAGTTTAATTGGCTTTTATTTAAAAATGCTCCTTTGCTTCCTCTTTATAATTCTGCCAATGTGGATGTAATTGATGTGCTGGATGCTGTGCTCTGAGTGCTGAGGTGTGTCCTCATCCTCCTTCCATAGTCACCCCTTCCCTCACAGCGCACACAGCTGAAGCATCACAAAGGATGTCAAAACCCTTGCCTAATGTGATGATGGAGACATAGCCTCAAGGCAGATGTGTTGGAGAAAATGCTGAAGGTATCGGGATAATCTGAGAATCTGATGGGTGACAAATGGGAGGGAGAGAGGAAGATGTCAGACAAGTTGAAATAAGGGAGCAGAGAAACAAGCTGGAAAGGCAAGGAAAAAAATGATGTGGAGTGATAAGCAAATAGAAACACTCATGGAGACAGGTGCACAGGGTGGCACAGAATCCTTCCAGAACTGGGGTTCTACTGCTGCTCTTTGTTAACTGGGCAGTGTGACAGTGCAGGGAGATGGAGTAGTGACTGTGTGTGAAAATGCCTTCTCAGTGCATATTTCCTTGTGGTTTTTCCTTTCCTCTGCAAGCAGGTGCGTGGAGGGAGGCATTCCTGTGGTATGCAAAGGGTGATGTAAGATTTACTGTCATCACGCTGGACACTTTGCAGAATTCTTCCCATGCTGGTGGTGTTTGGTGGAAGCTGGTGGCTTGGATAAGTCAATGAAACGTGGTCCTCATTCAAACAATGATTCCACCAGTGCTCCTTGTATTCTGCTCTTAATTGCTGAAACAACCTGGTAAAGCTCAAACAGCTTCCCTTTCCCAATAGGGGAGAGGCTGCCAGGAGGAACGCTGTAATAGGGCTGAGTTTAGGACAGAGGAGCACTGGAAAGGCTTTAAAATTGCTGAGTAAGATTTGTCAGCACTCTGGTGAGGGCTGGTTGAAGGGTGCAGGGGGTTGTGTTGTGCTGCAGTGCAATATGGATGGTAAAGCTGAGCTGTCAGCATCAGCAAGGTGAGGGTCAGGTGGGCAGCATCCCAGGAAACCCTGGATTTGCTGCTGGTGAGGGGTTTGCAGGGCAATGAAAACCATGTAATCCCAGTCAGATGTGCTAACAATGATGTTCAGGTTTCTCATTCAATCTAGGATCACTTGAAGGGCATATTGGTATTTTAAAATTAAATCATTAACTGGCTGTGGGGTAATGAGATGCAATCATCTGTGCTAATTGGGATAATCAAATTTCACACTTCCCCCAGCATTAGCTGATAATCATAAAATGATCCCCCTTTTGCCATCTCAGTGCAGCTTCCCACAGCTTTATGAAGGTTCTTCATTTCCTTCTAATCATCCTGCTAAAGGCAGGCAAACCTGGAGCACTGTGAACACATTCTTTGGGTGTTACTATGACACAATCAAAGCCTGATTTCATTCACACTTCTGAAAAGGTGTCGCGTCACTACAGATAAAAACTGAAATCCCCACAGAATGCAAAGATCATCCAGTAAATTTTAAGGGATATTTTAAAATTTAATTTTACATTTCTGTATTTTTTTAATTTTTAGGAATCTTTCAAAGAAATACCAACCCAAAAAGAACTCCAAAGAGGAGGAGGAGTACAGGTATGTTCATGATCCACTGCTGGGTGAGCACGTGTTGATGGAGGAAGGGGAGAAGTTTGGATCATCAATTCAGATTTGGCTTGTAAAGCAAAGATCTTAAAGTCAAATGTAAGAATGTAGAAGTCATAGATGCCGAAACAGCCCCTACGCAGTATCTGCAGTGGTAGATACTAAGGAGTGGATCTTTAGAGTGTGGATTTGATCTGTTACTACTCAGTTCCCTTTATAGGTTACAGTTTTGTGGATGCCTGATTGGTGGGGTTTTTTTTCCATTTTTTGTTAATGTGCCTTAAAAACTTTAGGCCAGACTGATCCTGGCTCTTTGAAGTGAACATCCAAATTCATATCTGCTTTCAGCAGGAACAGAAACAGTCGTTAATTTTAGCATGAAACTTTAGCAGTCTGCCTGAGTATTAAATTACTCCAACGGGCTGACAACACAGATTAGTAACTTTACTAAAGGGATAATGTTATAACACCACAGTGGTGTAGCCGACTTGCAGAGTAGGGTGAAGGATATAGTTTTTACTCCCAGTGTCCTGGGAGGGATGGACACACAACATGCTGCTCTTGAAGGGTGTTGCACAGCCTCACCTGTGCTGTTGTTTCACCTGATGATAGACCACATATCCTTAAAAACACTCCTGCCCTTGATGAAAATAAAGACTTTCCTCAAGGAGAACTTTCTAGAAGAGCAGCTTTCCCAACAGAAAGGCTGTAAAGCCAGAGCTGAGAACCCTTTTTCCTTGGAGCCCTGTGACTCTGGAGTTTCTCAACCTCGGGGTGTTGTAATGCGGCTCTGAACGCAGGCACGGCAGGCTCTGACCCTCAGCCTCGCATTGCAGGAGGCTGCTCTGCCTCTGGAGAGCCCAGCAGGAGCCTCAAACCCTTGACCTTGAAATTTGAAACATCTCAAATTGCTTAGGAGGTGGATCCAACTGGATGATTATATTAATTTAGATTTTTGGGTCAGACCCCCAAGCTGCTCTATACAGCTACTCCAGTGTCTTGTTTAAGAGAGATAACAGACTTTTTGTTTGCTTTTTTAATTTATTTTTAGTAACAGTGTTTGGGAATCAGTTATTTATGCCATTGTTTCCTGAGATATTGGTATTTACACAAGGAAGCTTATGTTACCCAGCACAGTGGCTGCTTTGGTCTGTACCCAGGATTAGGGATAAATCTGCCTTTGGACAACTCTACCATAAATGGGTATTTTGATTTTACTACAACATTTTTTGACACATCTTTCATAGCTGGAAAAGAATATTGGAGCTAAATGATTCTATGTGATGTGGCACAGAAGATCCTGTGTATCCTTTGCCCTTTATAAATACAGTGTTCACCTCAGTGTAGTTTTTCCATGTCTCAAAACAATGTCTGGGGATTTGTCGTGCGACCTTTGGGAGCCTCAGACGCTGCTTTGAGACAGCCTGGCTAAAAATCATCCATTTCCAAGCTTATTGTCAGTCTGTAGTTCTGTGGATTTGATCCTCCTTTTTGTTTTGCAACTGGGATTTCTCTCATTTCACAGCTTGACCGTGAACGTGGTTGCTTCTACTGGACTATATTTTGTCTCTTTTTAAAGTTTATTCTGGTTTTGTTTTTTTTTTTTTCCTGATGCCTTTTTCATCTCTCCTAGTACCACTCCCCTTTATGTCCTCTAAATATCTCCCTCTTTACTTTGATTTTTCACCTTTAGGTGATGTTATCAGTGCAGGCCACTACTATTTAATAATAATATTTAATAATAGCTTTTCTAGTATGTACCAGTGTCTTTGCTGCTGGGCACAGCCAGCTGGGGTATTTAAATGCAGCTCTGTTGGCACTGGGCTGAATATACCAGTGACATAATCTGCTGTTTCGAAATTGTGTGCACAGATGTTTGTTTCTTCCTTTTAATAATACATGAAATGCTGTATGGGACATTATTTTATATTAAAAAATAAACCTTGTAATGGAAGGTATTAAAAAATATGGGTTGACAGTGAACACCTGGTTAGTAAACTCACTGCTTCTTTGAAAACTTTATAAACTGTAGCTGATTGAAATCCAATTTACACTATGAAAAACTTTCTCTTCTAGGCTATGCTGGCCAAAATTTTGCTTGCTTAGACAGGATTTTGCCAGGTAGGACATACTGATGACTCTGTGCACTGAATTGGTAGGGCTTGAAAGAGTGTAACTAGAAATGTTTGGTGAATAGAGATTAGAATGCTGAAGTCCCAGAGCTGTGCTGATAAAGAACCTGGCACTCTAAAGCGGTGATATTTTAAGAGCCAGTGTCAAACTGTCTAAATCGAGATAGATTTATCAGACAACTGTCAGTGTGTGGGATAGGCTTCCTTTGGAGAAATTCCTTCCAGGGAATCTGTGCTAATTCATACTCAGTCTCACGTAGCCACACTAAGTGCTTAAGGGGGATCCCACCTCCCTTTGCAGTGTGTCTGGATGAAAAGAAAGGGACTCAAGTGGTAAAATGCATTTTTGTCCTTTGCAGGTACACGTCAACTAGAGCCTTCCTAGCCACTTTAAATGAAATGAATGACTATGCTGGACAGCACGAGGTCATCTCAGAGAACATGACCTCTCTTATCACTGGGGAGTTAACACGCTATGTGCAGGAGCTGAAACAAGAGAGGAAATCGGTAATTGATCCTTTTTTATCTGTTATTCACATCTAATTGCTATTTGAGACGGATAATTAGTGGTAGTGGAGTTCAGTGTTAAGTAAAATTTGTTTGTAGATAATAAACATGAGCTCTGCTGGTGAACCAAGCACTGAAGAAGTGGGTTATGTGCCCTGGCCAAGTCACTGAACCATTTGAATCGAGTGTTATAAAATCAGACAGCAATGCCTTGAGGAGAATCCCTGCTAAATAAGGTCAGAGGCCCATCTGTGCTTAAGGCTCAGTTAGCCAAAAGCTTGCTCAGGGAAGAGTCCAGTAGCACTGTGTAAAGCCTGAAATAATATAGTAGGAACCATCTTACTGAGGGTGATTGAAAGAATTATTTGGATTTTGGTTCATCTTTTCCTGCTTCTCAGGCAGTTCTGGTCAACAAGGCTTTGTAAAAAATTATTCTAATGAGAAATATGGGATCTGTCTTGTTTGGTGAGGGTGGGGAATCTGCTTTTCAACCTGTAGTCCTTCAAGACTGGTAGAATTAGCAGCTTTATGCTATTTCTCTATTTTAAGTAGTACTTTAGGAACCTATTTGCCTGCTACAGTGAATGTTCAAAGCTGATTAATTTGCACATCGCCAGCTCTGAAAGGCAGATAGTTGGGATGTGATTTCCTTCCTTGCCTTGAACTCTTTTATCCCCTGGATGTGTGGACATAAAATAGTGAATCTAAGCATTTTTGTTACAGGTACCCATAGCACAGGTATACAGTGACTAAGCAGAGTGCAAAGGGAGTATCAGGGCATTATATTTCATTTCCAAACTCTTGGTCTATTCTGGAAAGTGCAAAAATACTCCTGCAGAACTTGGGCTTTTATAAATAGTCCCACTAAACATTAAGCATGTGTTGAAGTGTCGTGCAGGACCAGAGCCCTGGAAATCACCATCTTTGCCTAAGTATAGTATTAGGATGATAAGTCTGTCAACAGAGGAAGAGAATATATAGACATACCTTTAATTTGCAGGATGATGTGTAATCTTTCAGGGGTGTAATATTTTGGCAGCAGCAAGGAAGGATGTTTCACATCTAGCTGTGATGAGAATGTTTTCTCAGCCCCTCTGACTTTGTATTCATCATGAATCTGTACAATAAGCAGAGCAAAAAAAAAAAAAATTCTAGTGAAGCATTTTCCTGTCAGTTCTAATGTTTTTACCTAATTCTTCAATTATGTGGGCACATAAATTGTTTGGAATATCTATTAGACATCTCAAGCATAACGAAAGAGGACTTGCAATATTTCTTGTGAAGAATTTGAGCAGTAATTATTGCTTTTTTTTTTATTTGTTTGTAAACTTTAGTTGTAAGTGTGGCTAATAGAAGTAATGGGTGAATGACAAGAAAATTATTTTAATATCGGTCGAGTGATAACAGCATGGGGAACAGCAAAACCCAACTGATGGTGTATTTACCTGCTGTTGCTGATAATTACTGGCCTTTAACAGAAAACAGTTGTCAGTCGTGGCTGTTTTTATTCTTGCAACATGAATAGAAGCTGTTTGAATTAGGAATCCTTGTCTGATTCCTGTAGATTATCATTTATGAGCAAATGGTGTTGAAAAGGAAACTGCTCCCGCCCTCGGGCATTTTTCATACACGGTCTCTCACTTTATTCTGTAAAAGCATCAATCACGCTGGGATCTGCAGGAGGGGAAGGTGGTTGCTGTGTAAATATCACAGAGGGCGGCTGCTTTGGCAGAACCTTTTATGATATCAATTGATGAATGACTTGGTATTTCCAGAAATTTTTGCTGGCAGAGTTCTCGTGCTCGCTGCTTGTTCTGCCGTCAGCTGTTGTGCTACAGGTTCCTGGAGTCGTTTGGATCAGCCCACTCCTGGGGCTAGGACCATATGCAGGAATTGGGAGACCCACATTCTTGTCCACTGAGTCTTGTATAATTTGAATGAAGTCATTCAAGTGTCCAAATACCTGTAAAATGGTACAAATTTCCAGTGATTTCCGTATGACTGAGATAGATAAGCATCCCTTGCTCTTTTTGTTTTAATTTCCCACCTGGAAGAGGGAAATGAAAGAGATGTCAAAACTGTAAATGTGTGAAATACGAACTCAAGTTCAGCAGAAAGTGGTCAGGCAAATCACGGATTGGTTTGGGTTGGAAGGAACCTTAAAAATCATCTTGTTCCAACCCCCTGCCATGGGCCTGGACACCTTCCACTAGCCCAGGTTGCTCCAAGCCCCGTCCAACCTGGCCTTGGACACTTCCAGGGATGGGGCAGCCACAGCTTCTCTGCCCAACCTGTGCCAGGGCCCTCCCACCCTCATAGGGAAGAATTTTTTCCTAATATCTGTAAATATAGCTGACTTTAAAGTTTCTGTTTCCAAAGGAAACCCCTTTGATACACATCATTTGATGGAGTCATGGGAGATGAGGGTGGATGGTGATCTTCAAACATGTGGGGGCTGGTGCCTGCCTGCACTTCATCATATTATGCATTCCCCTTCCATAGGATAGCTCTCACTGGTTTTGTCACTGTACCAGGTGAGTTGTTTTGCCCTCACAGTCACTGAAGGCAGGCACACACCCTGTGTGTGTGTGAGAATGTGAGAGGGAGAACTTCTTATGCTGTTTCAGTTCTTCCCAGCTGCCTAGTGAAGTGAAACTCTTTGTAGTGCAGTTCCTCACTTCAGCTTCTTGTGTTCTCTTGATCTCACTGTGTCCATGCTCTCACGTGAGTTATTTTCACACTCAGCCAGGGCCCTGCTGCTTAAAAGCTCAAATGTCAGTTCTATGTTGTGTGGAGATTATGCCCCATCCATCTTCCTTTTGAGGTTGCTGAGGGCAGATGAATTCTGACTGAATACTCCTTTGCTGCTGGAAGACCTTCATCACCAAGCCACACAAATGAGGTGGGAATCAGAGTGGTTCAGGGAAAGAACATACTTCTGCAGTCATTCTTCATACTATCCCAATTCCACCAAAACCTTATTTTTGGGGTAGTTCTGGAAGGTGTCAAATTTGAGCTGGAGCCTCTGCAGTATCACAGGACTGGATCTTAATCTTGTTCCTCTGTGATAAGAGAAAAGAGGAGCGTTTGGACTCTATTTCCCAAGCATTTCCAGGTTGGAAATGTACTCAGTTCTTCTCCCACCAGTTGGGTCTGTTGCTGTGTGTGATGTTTGCTCACAGGCACACCAGTTATTCTCCATATGAGACAGAGATTAGCAGCATATTGATTCTTTAGGTGAGGCAACCTGCTTCTCCACATTGCTGGGCCTGCCAAGGTGTACTCAGCATACCTTGTTCTATTAAAAAAAAAAAAAATCTAAACACTGGGAGTTTGTCTACCCTCTTTTTGGGTGACACCTTAGAGCACTTCTGAGCAAACATGTGGCACAAGGATTGAGAATTTGTTTGTTGGCTTTTATTTTTTTTCCCTTAACGCTTCACAGGAGATAACTTGGTTTATATATTCTCTCAGCTATTGTTGAGGAAACCCCTCAATGCTGCAGTTTGGATAGAAATTCAAGAATTATTTCCTCGGGCAATTCTGACTTTAGATCTGTGGTCACAAACTAGGTCTGACTCATGGCCTCCTGGCAGCTGCTGCTCTGTGTAGCCATTGCTCATGTCAGCTTTGCTAAAAATGTATTTGGGAGTCATGAACTATCCCTCTTATTACTGCTGCTGCTCTCACCTCTACCTCCACCTCCCCTTGGGGCTGGGCTGGCTCCGTACAATCAAGCATGAAAGTCAGATGGAAGCCGAGAGCTTTGCTGCAGACTGAGCTGGTGCAGCACCGGGATTCTGTGGTTGGGAGAGAATTTACCTGATGTCAATACATTCCATTTTGTGTGGGGATAGAAGGGAAGCAGGGAATGAATGCATCCTTATGGGTACCGTGGGGGGCAAAACGGGTCTGGTTCTTTCTGTGTCCGTTCAGATGGGGGGGGGCTGCATGTCAGAGAACTTTCTGTTTCTTGAGGGCTCTCAGGTGTTGATGAAAAGTAAATAATTGGAGGAATTCTGTCACGTTCATTCACCCTGAATAGTGCCCTGTTGTGCACACAGTGCTGTGGTTTTCCACGGGATTTCTCCCTGCCTGGTGCACCCCTGCAGGATGGCAGCACATGGCCCCACCAAGGGCACAATGGATTTTTTTTCTGTGTTGAGTTTGGTCTGTGCCTCGAGGTCTGCCTGTGTTGGGAGCACAGCTGTGCTTTGCGCTGCAGAGGGGCAAGGAGACACTGCTGCCCCCCAGAAATGACAAACTAAGGGCCAAGTGGGGATGGGAAAAGAGAGGCAGCAAAAGGAAGTGGTTTGCCAAACTTCAGATTTCAGGTGGATGTGATTTAAGCCGAGCTTTACCCAATTCCTTTTCTGAGACCAACCTGCTTCCAGCTCGCTGCCCAGTGAAGGGAGTTAAAAATCTTAGTTTTAATCTAAATACAAGGATATTTATGTGAGACTCTCTTGTGCCCAATAAATACACTGCACAACACTCTTACTCTACATATTCATCCTTTTTCTTGCAAGATGTTTCAGCTGTATTCCATTAAGTTTAATTGTGCCAGCAGAGTGCTAGGTAGTAGCTAGAAAAAAAAAAATTAAAGGATGCAGTGAATTGTTTAGGAAAGATCATAATAAATTATGTATATTATTATGGAGGGGTTTTGTTTTCCATCAAACCATGGCACAAATGTCACAAAATTGTGTTAAATATTGGTATGTATCATGTAATTGTGCTGTGAAGGATTGGTCTGTGATGGAAAAAAAACAACTGCTTATTATAAAAGCTTCCAAAACGTTTTTGTGTGGGAAACTAATACTAACATGCCATCCAGCCAAAAGGTATAATGTGAACTTTGGATTTAGTGAGGTTAAAGTTGAGACCACTGAACTTAATATCATGCTCTTCCCAATTTTGAATGGGTACGTTGAACTCTGAAGTGATAGTTCAAATAAATAAATTGGCTTCTGTTTACCACATGGAGGATTCGGATTGGG